TTTCCATTTTTTCCCTTTCATTCTGTTTTTTCCTTTTCCCTTCCTTCCTTTCCCCTCCCCTCCCTCGTTCCCCCTCCCATTTGAACATTTCCTTCTGACTTCCCAGTGTCTATACTTACCACCTTTTGGTCCAATTTATTTTTTTTCTGTTTTTCTTTTTGAGACTGGGTCTCACTGGCGTTGAACTCCTAGGCTCCAGTGTTTCTGCTGCCTCAGCCTGCCGGTGTTTGGAATCTCAGGTGCAGTACATACTGCTGTGTCTGGCTCTTGACCTTGTTTCTTAATGTTCCCAAACTCTGGTTTTCACAGTTCTAAATTTACATTGTTGTAGACCCAAATGAAAGTTTATCTGTTAAGTTTGCATAAGGAAATATTTGATAATAGTATTCTCCCAAAGGATATGTCTAGCCTATGAAAATGAGCTTTGCTTTCTGAGTCACTGTTGTGGTACATGTACTTAGAAAAGCAGTTTGGGCTGAGTGGTTTTTATTGCAGGGGAATTCTGCCTGAGGTGTTAGAAGAGAGACTGTAAAGGGTTAGTTCAGCTGTGAAATCTAACGTCCTGTTGGTTTGTCTCGTGCCAAAAAAGGAATTAAAACTCTGTTTTTAAGTGACTTATTATAAAGAGCTATCAGTAGAAGGAGAAATGGACAGTTTAGTTTCTTTTTAATCATAGCTGTGTGTGTCCCATATGAAGCAGTAAAGGAGTCTGGCTTTGCTAATGTTTGCTTAAAAGTGGGCGTTGACTAGCTTTCAGCTTGCACGTAGGAGTGTCTCGTCAGTGTTTTCCTCTGTACACAGAAAGTTTGCAGGACTCTGACACAGTGTGTACAGAGAGAGTTTGGGGAGCCATTGCACAGATTTCCTGCAGGTCATGAAAAATGATCAAGACTGGAACGCGAGGCTGGTGGGACGGATGTGCTGCATGGGTCAGTAGTGTGCTGTCCGTCAGGCCCCACACATGTTTTCGGAGCTGGGAGAGGACCCTTGTGCTACCTGCTTCGGCTTGTCTGCCGGGAGTGGCGAGGACACGCGGCACCACTCAGAAATCCAGACGGGATTCTGGGGACTCCGGAAGCTCGGGGAAGGACTTTGCTGGCTGTCGTGTGTGGGGTGCTCTCTATAATTTCATTATTTGCTGTGTGTGTGACACTGAGGGCCTTGAATCTTGACTGGACTTTCCTGAGAACCAGTCTGTGTAGGTTTAATATCCGTGCTCTTTATGCGCTTTTAAATTTCTTCCCTTACATTCTGTTATTATGTGCATTCAGAGTTACATATCTTCAGCTGTGTTGTATTTTCTAAGGTAAATATAAATGTGTGTTTTCATTTGAAACTACAAATGAAGTAATATTCAGATAGACAAAGGTTATAAAAAACTCAGAACGGTAAGTAAAGTCTGTAAAACAAACAGAATTGGTTAATATCACAGGGATAACTGTCGCCTTTTTTGTTGTCATAGCAGTATTGCCCTAAATATAAATCTCAGTGTTAGACATCCCTGACTGGAATGAAATAATCGCTGTGGGACTTGTAATTGGAAAATTAATGATGTAATCTGGAGTAGTCTCTTTTGAAATGATGTGTATGGAAAGTGGTAAAACAACAGTCTTTCCAGACTTAAAGTCTTCTAACTGTATGGCAGTTCCCATTAATTTTTGCACATTGTTGTGCTGCTGCGGGAACATTCTAGTGTTACAGAGCTTCCCGGACTCTTCAAGTTTTTTTCTTGCTTTAAAAGAGAAGGTAAACCAGTGTCAGAATTTACTGATGCTGAGTAATACTTTACTGATGCTGAGTGATTACATTGTTACAAGGTAGCCTTGTCACAACTTGTATCTGAACAAACCATTTTGTGCTTTCTTCATATGCTTGAGTTACACATCATAATTCCCAGACACTACCTCGGTAATCGCTACCAGATACTCAGCACCATCCCAGTTTCAGCAGTGCCTTTGAGCTGTAGCAGCAACCATAGCACAAACACAGGGAGCAAAGAACCTTGTAGTAGTTACTTGATCTAAGTGAGTCCTCTGTGCTGAGAGGGAAATTCTTCACATCAGCTTTTTTGATACACTTCCTGAGTGAGAAACTAGGCAGCTCGTCTTTAGAACCTAAGTTCCGCCTCTTCATTTTCTTAAAATTTATGCCTGGCTTTTATTAATTGAGAAAATAAGCAATTATTTTGTTAATCTTTAAACCTAAGCAGACAGTTATACAATACATACACTATTAAGTTTGATGAGATGGAGTAGTTTTGTAAGAGCTCATATTGTGACATGATGGTTAAGTGCATTAAAACCTTGGAGGATAGTAGGGGAGTTCCTTATCCTGTATTTTGTCACTTCATGTGGAGGTTGTCTGTCCTCCCATCCAAGTACTAATCAGGCCTGACCCTGCTTAGCTTCTGAGATCAGACGAGATTGGGCGCATTCAGGGTGCTATGGCCACAGACAAGTTGTCTATTCTAGAATTATAAAGATTCCTAATATTTTAATGTTTTTCTTTCTATTGAGGATTTAATGTTAGGGCCCTAGGTTGTTAATTGGATGGGAATAATATTAATATTACCAATAAGTACGTTTTTTTTTCTGTTGTCTCTTTTGCTGGGGACTTAGACAAGCACTGCCGAGATGGGAAATGAGTGCTAGGCCCCAGTGCACGAGCTCTCCTTGTGCAAGTGCACTTTGCACCACAGGGCGATTCCCGGGCTCCTCACCTGTGATTGGAGTGTGCTCAGCACCGCTGTTCAAAGGATGCCAGCATCTTGGGGTACAAGCGAGCCGGCTGGGAAGGGAGTCACAGTGCTTGGGTCCTTGCCATGGCTCCACTGTAATAAGTCAAGAGCAGACTAGAATTCTGGGCAATTTTGAAATGTGTTTGTTATAGGCAGAACCAAGTGGTAGGTTATATTTAGGTATCTTTTTGTTTCTCCCTGGCAGTGATAGGACATGGAAGGGGGCTTAGGTTGGTACTTTGGAGAAGTAATACCCGTGAAATTGCAATCTTCATATTGACATTTAAGTGTAGGAGAGTAGTGAATAGTATACCATCAGTGGGTAGCCTTGTAACAACTTGTGTCTGAACAAACCATTGGATGGCTTTGCTAGAACATCTCTAACCAGGTCCTTATTTTTTTTTCAAAAATTTTATTTTGTTACTGTGAATTCTTTGATTTGTATTCTTTGTAGGTACATTTTGGACAGCCCACGGTTATAATCTGAGAATCCATTTTAGAAATAGGCTTGCTGAGGGAAGGGCGCACGTATTTTTAGTGTTTGCTATGTACGTTGATTGCTGAGTTGCAGGGAAGTGCTGTCCAAGAGAGTTCTGCTCCCGTGCAGCACTGCCTGCTAAGGATTCAGGCGATGGTGGGAATATTCTGTAGCCGTGTTTTCCTGTGTTAGCAGTGCTGCATGTAACTCTTTCAAGGTTTTGAATTGTGACTAATGCAACCAAGAAATTGAGTTGTTAATTTTTTTTATTGAACTAATATAGGTTTAAACTTAATCATACGTGACTAGTGGCTATGTACGAAAAGGTGCAGGTATAGATTTAAATCAGATTATATTTCTACCAGCAATGTATGACTGCCTGTTCCCTGTGTCCTTTTAACATGAATATCCTTTTTTTCCCATAAAATCTTGGCACTTTTATAGATTAAAGAGTTTTTCTGTGTTATATTATTGTTTGTTAAGTGAAGTTGAGAACCTGTGGGCATTAGTTGTTTTTTAATGGGTTACCTGTCTGCTTTTGCCAACTTACACAATAAGGCATTCATTTTTTTCTTATTTCTGATTTTTAAATACTAGCATTAGTAATTTTTGTCTGATCTTACACATATTTGCCCAGGTGATTTGTTTTTTATTTTTACTTATTTTCAGATTATTATAAAGAGCAGGAATACTTCTGATAAATAGGGCAAGCATTTTCCAGGAAACCTCATATCACAGTAGTTTAAAAGGTTCGGAGAGGAAAAGAGACAGGAGAGACAGCAGCATTTGTCCTAATCCCAGGGTGCGGAGGGGCACACCTGCCCTGTGCAGGAGCAGAGTGAAGGGCACAGGGAAGGAGGAGGGAGCTCCAGACCCAGGAACGAAGGAGAGCAGGAGCAAGGCAGTGAATCATTGCCTGGTCATGGGGAGGAAGACCTAGGTGTTGGAAGCCTGTGATTCTCCTTTGAAACAACAGCTTGATATATCAGAGCTTTCCCAGCTTCTTAAACCACAAGCTACTGTTTCCCCTTCTCGGTGCTGTGAATGTACTGACCAGGGCAGACTCACTCACCACAGGAAGGTCTGGGTATAGCTTTCTTTGTTATCAGATACTCAACACAGGGAGTCTAGCAGAAAAGCAGCACGGCCAGTACATAAACCAGGGTCCACTTCTAGCCAAAGTCTGAACTTGGGTTCTGGCTTTTATAAAGACTTTAAACCATTTGATGGCAACTGTGGAGATCTCTTTGAATCTGTTGGAGCCTGGGTTTGTTGTGTAAAATGGGAATGATAGTACGCTATGGCTGTAAAGAGCAGATGGGAGCCAGGGATATAGCTCAGCAGCAGAGTGCCTGCCTGGCAAGCGCGAGGTCGTGAGTTCAATTCCAGGTACTAAGAAAAAAAAAAAGCAGATGGAATGTAAGTATGTTAGCCTGCTCTGGGGCACATGCAAGGGCACACCTGAACTCAGAATGGCTTAGGGTAGAGACCCTCCTGGTGTGGTGGTGGTGACAGTAGATTACACAATAAATGGGCAGAGTACAGTACATGTTAGTGGGGTAAGGCTGGCTGATACAACACCAGGAAGAGGCCAATCTGACCACTGCCTATAGCACTTTCTTGCAAATGCCTAAAGTTGTCATAATTTAATAAGACAAACCAGATGCACTGAATAGCATCTTTTGAATATCCTATTTTATTTTGTGTATTGGCATGACCACAAAGTTTCCCATGCATAGATCATACCAACCTTACTTATTTTATATCTTTTTTTTAATCTTCCAGATGAACGGGACAAAGTTCAAAAGAAAACATTTACAAAATGGATAAATCAGCATCTCATGAAGGTCAGTTTTTATTTCATTCACATCTTGGAATTGTTTTGGTTATTTCACCCTTTTGAACAGTACTCGATTGTATAGCTTTGAAGAACAGCTTTTGAATATTAACCTGAAAGTTTAAATTGTAGGACATTTCACATGCATTTTAGGTGTCTGCGATCACTTGATGTGTGGCTGTGGGTAATGATGGGGGTGGGAGGGTAAGCACCCACTGATTATAGCGTATTCTGTGACATTAGTAAAACCTACGATTACCGGACTTAAAAAGTCTCAGTAGTGTAAGAAATCTATAAATATTTATATGTTAGGGCATGGAAAAATTACAGTTCTAGTAAGACTTCTTTGTCTCTGAAGACTTAAATTCTGTGACCATGAGAAATGAGATGATAATAATGAAAGAATAGTTGAAAAATAAGGAAAGAAAGGAAGTAAAATCATTCAGGTAAAATCTAATGCCAGACGTGATTGTACACACCTGTAATTCGGCACTCGGTGCTGAGGCAAGTTTGAACCCGGCCTGGGCAACTTAGGGACTTAGGGACTCTGTTGAATTAAAAAAAAAAAAAAAAAAAGGACTGGTATGAAAGTCCTGGGTTTAATCCCCAGCACCATAGTAAATAGAACAGAATGAAACAAAATCTGCATATTCTGTGTGTGTTCTCTGCTTTGTGAATGTTGGCTGAAGTCATAAGTAGTCCTTAAGGCAGGAGGAAAAGGAGTGAGAAAGATTAGGGGAGGAAGAAGAGAAGCGGGGGCGGGGACAAGGGTGAATTGGGAGGGGCATCGCAGCCAGGTGCCCCGCCCTGGCCTGCAGGTGTGTGTGTGGGGGGGTCATTCTTGACCCTGAGAGTGCTGACTCAAGCAGGGGGCATGGTCCTCATCTTTTAAATAATTCCTACAAATTTTGCCTTTTCTAAATTTTTATTTTACTGTGTTAATTTTCATTTAATATTGTTGAATTATTTTACTCTGATCTTAACTTTATCGTGACTCCAAGGAGTGCGGTTCTGGATAGTTCTGCCCTTTTGGACAGGGAGGGCCTGGAGCAGTTGTGCCCCAGTGGACCTTTCTTCACAGCCTTTTGCACTTACATTCTCTTCTGGGAGTTTCAGCTATTTGGTAACTAATCCCTGTGACCTAGGAAGGTGTGATCTGTGCAGCTGTGCAGTGGCTCGCACTCCACACCTGGTATGATTGTGACATGGTCAGTGTGTAACAGTTTACAGACTGAGAAAGGTAGACTTTGTGCAGCTCTGACGTGCTTGGAGTTACGGTACATCCCTGTGTGGAAGCCATTTTCTTTAAGAAGTGTGGGATTTAAAAAATACAACTTAAATATAACTTATAAATTACATCTTTTAAAAAGTAAGTAGACGGATTTATTAAAATTTATATCTGTTGGTGAGCAGACGTCCCTTGACTTTTTCCAAACATACTGAAGTGTAGGGTTCTGGGTTTCACTTGTATGAGTGACTAAGTCTGTCCTTAAGCTGGTGCTGGTGAGTGTGCAGAATGTCTTCCTTTTGACTCACCCTCCTTTAGAATACTTTCAGGAGTAAAACTAGCTAACGTATTCGTGTCTGCTGCCTTTTCATGCCCTCAGATTATTTACCTTGGAAATCATGGTTTCTAGGTAAACTGTTGATGGCAGGAGCATTTATTATCATTCTTTAGCATAATTTAAACTGGTAGCACCGGATCCTCAAAACATTAGCCAGAAAAAAAAAAAAAAAAATTAGCCAGGGCAGACAGGCAAGAGAAAGAAAGAAAAGGGATCCATATAGGAAAGGCCAAAGTCATTTGCAGATGACATGATCTTCCACTTGCAAGACTCAAAACATTCCTCTAAAAGACTCCTAGAATTCCGCTGAAAAATTCCACTGAAAGATTCCTAGTGAGATTTAGACTCACATAAAAATCAATTGCATTTCTATACGCTAATAGTGAACTCACTGAGAAAGAAATTAGGAAAATAATACCATTCACAATAGCATTAAGAAAACTTAAATACTTAGGAGTTAACCTAGCCAAGGAAGTGAAAGACTATTAGAAATTAGATTGCTTTTAATTGTTTGCTTGGACCCAGAATTAGGACTTGAGCCATGATGAGAGACTCTGCTCAAGAGGAGTAATTTAAGGGAATGAGTGATGGTTGGAATACTCGGGCCCAGCAAATCCCTAGAATGTGCTTCCCTTGTGGAGGGTCCTTTTGGAGGGTCCATCTTACAGTGCAATTATATTCTTCAGCATTGGTCAGCTGTCTTATACATTTATCCATGACATTGTGTAACAGTATGTTTTCCATTTTCCCCTAAATTTTAATTTATTGATACATGAATGCATTTGGAGAGACCGGGGCCTGGAATTCTAGTGTTGGACCACACCCTGTTTGATTGTTAGTGACTTACTTGGTTACTGCCTGGGGGACACCCACTGACTATTACATTTTTGTGTCTGTTGCATTGTATTTTTGGAAAGGTTAAGTTTATGGTGGGGATATCCTTTGACAACATAGTGAGGTGAGTGACTTCACCACTCTGTTTATCGGCCACACTAATTCTTTATTTGCTGATTTGGCGGCCAGAGGGAAATGTCTATTTCCAAGCTGAGGACACAGTCTGTGGTAGCTTTCAGTGAAAAGAAAGACTTGTTTGTTCTGTGTTCTTGACAGTTGCTAATTGAGTAATTTTACATTTGTGGCCACAGGTAAGAGAGGAAAATTTTTGAATTATTGGCTTATGAAAGTAGAATGTGATATTTTTGGCTCTTAATATCTGTGTCTAATTTTTTTTTTCTGGGACCTTAAATTTATACCAGTGGTTCCTAAACTTTAGGTGCATCAAATTCAGTTAGAAGGCAGACGTCCACATCCCGCCTCAAGAGCTTCTGATTCATTAAGTATGGGGTAGAGCCTAAAAACTGGTATTTCTAATAAGTTAGAGGAGTCTTTATTTCTAATTAAGCTGATGCTCTGGAGTTGGGGCGTACTGTGAGAACCATCAATTTGGCATATCCTAAAAATATTTTTAAAGGATTTAGAAAATACTAGTAGCTTTTATTGAACCTAAACTGGGTGGCAGGTACTTTTTCATATTATTATCAATATTAATAATAATATGAGCTGCTAATATTGATTGAGCTTTAACTCTGCTCCAGGATCTGACACTCTCATGTCTTACTATATTTTTCATAACACTCCTATGCACAGATCTGCTTATTATTACTCTTTTGTTATAGGTGATAGAACTGATGCACAGAGCTTCTGTAATTTTCCAAGATCCTGCAATTAGTAATTGGACTGGTGTGGTAAATAAAGCTAAGAGATTAAGTAAGTGAATAGGATGTTTGTTACACCAGACAGAAGTCTAAGGAGAAAGTGAAAATCATTCCGCATCTGCCTGACTCTGGAGCCTTTGCTCTCTCTGATACACTGAATTCTTGAGGATAAATTTGGAGTTGAGTGATTAATGTTAAAGGAGGGAAGCTGAACATTTGGACATTTATCTGCTTCTCTTGCAAACAGAACTTGACATTTAATTTCTTTCTGTTGTGATATAACAGGTAACAGTGTCTGTAGTTGAGGAAGGTTTGTGTGCTTTTGGAGAAGTACTAGGTTAGAGTCCCAAAGTATAAAATTAGGAGCAAATCTTGCAAATCAAGTTTTTATATGTGTGGAAAAATAATTGATCTTTGAAGATTTTAAGAGGTACAAGGAAGTAAGAAGTTTCATGTAGTGAGCTTTAGACTGAGAAGTTCTGAGTGTCTTTTCATCAAGAAGAATGATTGAATAGTGTGATGGTTTTCATCGTGAGCAGTGTACTCCTTGTTGGGAAGAAAACCCCAGACTGACACCTGCTTACAAGGCTGTATAGAACTTCTGACATCACCAGGACTCTTCGAAATATGGTTTAGGCAGCTGTCTGTCTTCATGCAACTTGCCATTTGGTTGAGACGTTAAATATACATCCATGAAATCGTTAAGCAGTTGCAATAAGGTGTCAGAAGAGGTGAGCAAAAGTAAGGGTTTCTGGAGCTCAGAGCTGGAGCCAGAGGGGCCCTGTGCACGCAGGGATGCTCAGTGCAGGCAGGGTCTTGATCTGAGTCTAAGAAGGAGGCGTGCTGCGCAGTGGAGGGAGCCTGAGGTTGGTTTCAGTGAGAGTAGTTGCACGGAAAGTGGGGGATCAGGGAAGAAACAGAGGGGCCTGCTTAGTCGACAGTGCTTTGGGAAGGTTTTGAGAAGAATGACACTCAAGCGGCATTTTAGGAAGAGCAGTGCATTTCATACACAGGCATAAGGGCGTAGTGAGAGTGTGTGGTGAGCTCCACGATGTGGCTGTTTTCTCATAAGAGGACTGCAGTGAGTGCTGAATGAGTCACCAGTGGCGGTGACTGCTGGCAGGAGACTCTTCACTCTTCTTCACCTGTAGCACTTACATGGGTGAAGTCAAAGAAGGCATGCTCGTTCCATTTACTTAGAGTAGCAGATGTATAAAATTCATTCTCAAAAGTTACTGTGAAAGTTGAACTTCTAGTTTTATCCAAAAGAAACATTTCACAGGGAAGAAAATGTACAGTTCAGCTCAGATTGAATCTACTCGGAGGGTCAGAAGGCTTGTTGAAATCCTTGTGACTTAGCTTGAGGATCCGCTGACTGCAGAGACGGCGGAGGGTCCCTTGGGGCATCTTACTACGGCTTGTACTGTGCTGCTTAGGCCACATTGAGGGAATTTTGTTCGGTTCCCGACTGCTTTCTGAGAGGGACCGTGTAGTAGCAGAGGGTACCTGTGGTGCTGACCACCTGGCACCATCTTGGCGAGCAATGAAGTGGGGGTATGGCCTCGGGAAGAGAGGACTACAGGGAGAGTGGCCTGTGTCTTCAGGTAGCAGCAGGGCAGTCATGTACCAGTGACCACAGTCTGCATTTATTCAGTTCACAGAGAAGGTTACTGGGTAATTCCTAGGATGAAGATTTAAATTTAAAAAATCTCTCTATGTCCTCAGTGCCG